ACCATAACTCAAGACAGCGGTGCGATACGAGTCCGGTAAAATGGTAAATGAACATAATAAAAAACCTTATCCGATCTTGGTTCTGGTGAGATTTTGTTAGCAGTGGCGAATTCACCGCATACATAAAAGAACCGTGGAAGAGACACTCTTGTGAGATGTCAATTTTCACGACAAATTACTCACTTATGAGCCTGTGGACTTGACTTATGTATCGCAAATCTGGCCTACACACTTATATTTTTATTGGTTTCGGTAGCACAATATAGATCTCGACTGCCGATGACGGCGTCACCCTGCGCACACTATGACGCAATATTGATATGGGGAGATGGGGTTCACAATTTCTTTTAGATATTTCTACAAAATTGCTATGAGGGTACCTAATTACTGCTTACTAATTAGTAAGCAGTGTTACTAGAAACGAAACGCGCAGCTCCACCAAGCTGTAAATTGACCACCGACTCTAAACCGAATGCATCACGAAAAAATGCAGTCTATACATCACCAAACAACCAGTCGATCGATACTCCAGCGGATCTATGGTACTTAGTAGTGACTTAGTCACTAAATTCACCTTTACACCACCCACCCACCTTAAATAAGGACCTGGGTGGTTTAAAGGTGAATGTCTTTGTTTGCAAATGATAAAAGTTGAGTTAAAAAATAAGCAATACAAACTAAACATGTAAATTCCTTACCAACCAATTATCGTGGCCACGAACATTATTTAATAGATGGGATAGTTATTTGGCACAAATAAACCAGTAAAATTATTTAGGTATGGTGTCACATTCCTGAACTAGAGCCAACCAAATTTCAGTATCGGTATATTTGAGGGATACGTAGGTGAGTTGCCTTTGAGTCCCCTATTTGTGCATGTGTGTTGTGGTAGCAGAAAAATAGTATCTCAGGTTGTCGGCCAGGCCATTTAACATGAGTCATAAGGTGGAACACTGTTTAAAGAAAGAATAGACAGTGAAACAACTCCTTGGGATTTTTTATGGGAAAAAACTGTTGCTCTTGGGTGGAAGGTCCAACGGGGGTGGGCACTGCAGAAATCACCAGGATCATCACCAAAGCGCGGAAGCTGCGGCCTGATACTCACTTGCTGATTACAGAGTACGCCGATAATGTAAGAAAAACAGAAATATCCTCCCAGATCGTCCACAGTCCGGGTTGAACCAAGGGAGAACTTTTGGGGCTGCATGGACTGTGGCCGTCAGGTTCGGCTGATGTGAACGCTGGCGGCTCATAAGGCTTCAGTTTCGATAGAGCACAGGATGCAAATGCAGACGAAGGTTTTTGAAGACTAATTTATTG